ATATATATATATATATATATATAAAGTATATATATTATTTATATTTATATAAGATATATAATATATATATATATATATATATATATATATATATATATATATATATATATATATATATATATATATATATATATATATATATATATATATATATATATATATATATATATATATATATATATATATATATATATATATATATATATATATATATATATATATATATATATATATATATATATATATATATATATATATATATATATATATATATATATTATAATATTATATATATATATATATATATATATATATATATATATATATATATATATATATATATATATATATATATATATATTAGTATATATATATATATATATTATATATATATATATTATATATATATATATATATATATATATATATATATATATATATATATTATATATATATATATATATATATATATATATATATATATATATATATATATATATATATATATATATATATATATATATATATATATATATATATATATATATATATATATATATATATATATATAATATATATATATTATATATATATATATATATATATATATATATATATATATATAATTTTTGGAATTTTTCATCATAAGTTTTTTTGTTGAAAAGGCTTTTCATCATATGTTATATATATATATATAACATATATTTTTACTTTAAAAAAAATAATATTTAATATTTTATTTGGGGCCTTATAGCCCTCTTTTTAACTTTGGGGCTTTCTAACTTTGGCGCCTATGTATGTATTTTAGGGCTTACTATTCTTGGAACATTTTTAGGCCCCCTTATTATGAGGGCTAGCCCCTTAAATTAACACCTCTAGACGCAGTAATAGGATCAGGGGGGGAAAACATTCGATATGGATTCTGTTTGTTACTCACTGAGAGAATATTAATAGTGGTTAGTAGGAGGTCTTTGCGGTTTGCTTTAATTCGACTTTAAGGTAAATTATTTACGATTCGATTTTACATAATATATTAAAAATAAATTTGATTAAATTTAATTTTATGCGATTTAATTTGGATCGATTTTTAAATATCTAAATTACACATTATATTTTTATTAATATTATAAAATTACTAATAAATCATAGATATATTTGATATAATATAGAATATATAATATATTAATAGTTAATATTACAAAATAAGAAATTATAAAAATAAATGTGTTATACTAAGCTAATAAATATTATTAAAAAAATTATTATCATCTAATAATAAATTCATATCTCATATTATATTAATAAAAAGTAAATAAATATAAAAATATATGTATATGGTTCGGTTTAGTTTTGATCGATTTTAAAAAATTAATCTGAAATTTATTCTGAACCGATCGGTTTTCACAAAATAACATCTAACCCATCGAATAAATTTTGATTTTTTACAGTTTTTAATTTAGATCGATTTTCAATTTTTTATTTGAATTGGTTTAGATTTGAAACAGCTAGCACAAAGAGTGGGGGCGTGAATTATGTGTGATATCATTCTCTCTCTATATATCTCTGATTCACCTCAATCTTGCCATACCGTAGCAGTAGTATTATTTCCTTTATCTCATTGTATTTTCTTTCATTTAATACTCTGCACTTGAATCCAATTCCTTGTTTCCATAACTATACATCATCCCTTTCTAATTTGAGTACTGTGATAATACTTGAACTACCATTACATGGATGCTTTCATCCCATCCATGACCGACAACACCAGGATGAAAGAGCTTGCAGTTGAGGTAAAACGTCAAGGCGAAGTTCTGGAGAAGAACGAAAAGTCCAATGCAGCTTGTTTTGAACGCATGAAGATGATGCAGAAGTCTCGCAATCACGCTTCACGGATTTGTCGAAGTCAATGAAGATGATGCTACACCAAATGCAAGCTCTTGCCGTCACCCATTGTTGGAACATGTCCATGTTCCATATTGAATTAAAAAAAAAATAAAAAATTCATTTAGTCCCACATTGCTCATGTGAAAAATATTAACCATCTCACTTTATTATATAAGGAAGTCACTTGTTTCCTTACAAAACACACCAAAAACATTTTATTAGTTTTTCCTTCCTCACTCTCATAACTCTGCGTCTTTCGAATTGTCGAAGCGCCAACTTCTTCCCCTTTCTTTCTACTCGTTGAATTTTCCGAGTATTTTCTTGAATTCTCTTTATAGAGAATAATGTTAATTTCTCCTCGTTTGAGTTGAGAAATTTTCAAGTATAATTTTTTATTCTCTTTAGAGAATTATTCGAATTTCTCTTTGTTTGAGAAATCTTTGAGTGATCAAAAATGATCATTATTGAATTCTCTTTGAAGAATTATTGAAATTTCTCTTGGTTTGAGAAATATTTATGACTGGTAAATATATCAGATACTACGGTGGTATTTATACCATATTTGAATGGTCTTAGTACCATTAGAGGGTGTATTTCTAGACCGATTATCTATCGTGCAAGTAGTAATCGTACAGTATAGAACTGGGCTGTTTTATCCTGGAGGCGGCGTGGTAGTTCGACTGCTTTGCATAATTTTGGGCAGTACCGCGAAACGTCTTAAAGAGAGCGAACTGATCCGCGACTCAACCCGGTAATTTCTTCAGTGGCAACATTTTTAAAATCATGAACCAACAATTTTAAGACGATTCAAACTGCCATGGCTATTGAAGAAATTATCGGTACTTCTAAGATTGTCTCGGACAAACCGTTCTAGTTTGAAGGAGTGCATTTCAAAAGTTGGCAACAAAAGTGAGGTTTTTCCAAACCATAAAGAAGTTTGTCAATATTTTGACCGATGACATTCCTACTGTTCCACTTGGATCAGTTGAACAAACGAATAGAAAGAAATCTATGAACTTAGATTGAATTATTAATTTCAATGAATCTGAATTTACAACATAGATTAAAGAGAAGGATTTACAGCTAAAGGAAGAAATCTCCTTATAGAAAGAGAATGATTATAACATTCTAAATGGACTCGCAAATGATCTATATGATTATTACAATAATTGCGATACTCCAAAATAAGTTTACGAGGCTATGAAAAACAAGTATTGAAGAAGATGG